TGGTCATAACGGATGTGGAAATGGTTATATATATATAAAAAAAAAGCGGTTTAATTAACGCATTTCGCAATTCCATTTTCGATCTGGGCAATGGCGTAATGTCTCATTCATTTGCGATGTTCGCTTTTCCGTTTTATAGGCAATTTCAATTAAGCCAAAGGTCGTGACTCTTCTACCTTGTTTTTTTTATTAATTCAGACATTCTTAAAATAGCTGAAGGCAAAAAATAAGATTTAAATGGTAAATTTCAATATGTGAAATAATTGATTATGAGTTTGTTGAGGTGTCGAGGGGTTAAAAGAGGTTAACAATATAATGGGTAGAAAACAAAACTTTTCCACGGCGGAAAATTGCTGCGAATTATTTTAATGGTTGATAATTAGCGTTGACATTGGCGGAGCGAGAAGACAATAGGTGCGGGATCGGCGCTGTGGGAATTCCATGATATTTTAATCTCCTCGACAATTGAGTGAGAAGAAAAAAAAGTGAAAATAGAGATGAAGAGAAGAAAGGAAAAATATATATATATAAATGGATGAGATAGGGAAGGGAAGCGTTCAAGTTAAATATTTACTAGTAGAAAGTTGGTCGGGCGGAATGATTTAAGTTCGCGAGGAATAAACACAAATCACTGAGACTACAGCGGCCCCAATTTTGATAGAACTAATCTAAGTTTCGGCGAAGTTCACTCCGGCGTACATCCACATGAAGCGAGGTTTCTTCGCAAGAAACGGGAGACATTATCGTCGTCATCATCATTCCGAGCAAGAACAACAACCGGGTGGTGGTGTTGGTATTAAACAAACCAAAAAGTGTTCGAGCATTAATGCCGATAATCGCCTCGGAATGCGTGTGTGTGTTCTCTTTGCAGATTATTACAGAGCCACCAAGGGAGGAGTCACTGATCCCGAACGAAAGCTGCACGAAGAAGCGTGGATGAGATGATGATGTGTATCAATTAGGTTTCATTAGGAGCGCATGCTTCCAATTTAAGATAAGGGATTGGATTGCACCATGACTCAATAGGATGGATGCACGGAGCCGTTGTATGTAGTAGTATTAGTATACACGTATAGGTATAAATAGTGTTATCTATTTCCGAAGCCCATTTACCTCGGCTCACTCGCGGTTCGTTGACCAAGTCTGTATGACATCAAGAGATCACATGCCTAGGTGATTCCGCCTAGAGACGTCGTTCTCTTCGCGGTGACACGTGCAAGAACAAGAGGAAAGTTACCACAGAAATAAGAAGGAAAAAAAAAGCGAACATACACAGAAGGAACCGAAGAATCAACATGCCTTCTCTCCTTTCCAGGAGATAAAACAGGAACGTGTAAAGAGTAAATAAATGCGCGCGATATGGAAACGAACAGGAGGGGAAAAAAGTATAATGTAATGTACACACATTGCACACATACAATCTTATCAGCGCAATGACCTCGTAGCTTAGGTAAACATTAAAAAAAAAAAGGTAACGTTTCCTCCTGAACGTAGCCCCCTCTGTAAAACCGCCGTAACGCACGCAATTACATCCAGTTTTACTACCTCAAACACGGACACTAAAAACATCCGCAGGAGAAAAACAAAAGGTAATTTCAGGAAACAATTACAACAACTTGTATCAATGAAAACATTCTCACCTAGAATGTAGCAATCGCTTCAAACAAATTACACAAATTTTTCAAAAAAAATAAACACATACGCATTACCTAACAGCACGATGATTGCATAGCAATAAAAACCTTGTTTTTTATACGCTCTCCACATCGTAATGGAAAAAAAAAAATCATCAACAGCTTCGTGGTCATTTCCATTATTAGCGATGACTTATTTGAAACGGATACAATCGCAGTTCAATTATTAATAATCGCATGCGACAACGCATAGAAGAATCTAACGTATGCACTTTGTTCGTCTCGCGAAACGGAATGTTTTATTTATGCTGTTTGTGATTATTTTTTATTGTTTCTTTTACGTAACGACGTTCGTTGCTGCAGGTGATGTGTTCATTAATTTTGGTGGATCGGGGTCAGAGGCCCCCCGTAGATCTCTATCTCTACGCTTTCCTAACAGAGGAAGTCCTCGTTCCCAGACATAATGAATGAATTAATAGATTCAGTTTGGTGATTACACACATACAAAAATACACGTAAAAATATGAGGAAGGAGCGATGAAATCAACGGATTTTTATGTTTGTATTTTGACAGGTACGTCGATGCTTCTGTCCTTCAACGCATCATCCTGTTCGAAAACTCAAGTGAAAGTTTAACACGATTATTATCAAAAGTTATATTATTTAATTATGCACAAACTGAATAACAACATTTTCTAAATGCGAATATGTGAAAAGGAAGCATTCAAGTGTCGCAGTATAAGTATTTTCCCAGATAGAATTGCGCAATTAGATGACTCGTTACATAGTTGTGACCTTGCATCGAAGAATCATTAGCTCAATATATAGAGAGAAAAAAAACACACAAAACTTGCGGCTACGCTTCACATGCGAAGGAAGTACTTATCGTTTCAATGAATAAATATGAATATTTGTTTGCGTCAGTTTCGGCGAGGTTTTACCAAAAAAAAATTCGTTACTGAAAACTTATTATATTATTGTTTTCTGTTTGGGAATAGAATACGTAATCGGGTAGAGTAAATAAATCGAATAAGTATCAATAATGCATAAAAAAAGTACACCAGAAATGGGTTATGTGTGCGTTGCACTTAAACAATTACGAGGCTCGAAATATCTCGTGGAGAGAGATAAATTGGAACACGAAAAATAGGCGACAAACACGAACTGTGTCCATTTAAAAATACCGGGTGACTCAGTTAAATGTTTGTTATCAGCGATTCTTTGGCCTTGAAGATCGTAAACTATGCTAAACATAGACGGGATTATTATAACACGTAATGTGTGGTTTTTTCTATGACTGTCTCATGTTTATTTAAGTACTAAAGTATACATTTTAGTTACGTAAAAATAGTTATTTTTTTTATAATAATTCAAGATTTAGATTATCTTTGAAATGATTAGAACAAGTATATATTTTAATTAGATTTTCAACTTTTAAACTTAAGATTTAATGGACGCTTCAAACAGGACCAACTTTCTAACAACGTTCACTACTATTTTATAATATACATTTTTTTTTTCTCTCTCTCTCTGGTTTTAAATTCTCGAATCCTATCCGGTTCCAATATTTTAATTCCAATTACACCGATTCCCATGGTGGAAATCAAAGAGAGCCTAATTAGAGATTCGGATGGTCCACCTCAAAGTCGACGATTAACCGGAGGATTCCGATCACGACGATAATCGTCCTCTATCTGGCCGTGTGATGTAATTATCCTGAACGATTTTTACAGCACACATAAATCGCTCCACGGACAAATCGCATCCGAAGGTTACAATTCATTCCGTTCATTGTTTGTCCATAGTCTTTCCCACGTTATTATTTTTCTAATCAATTAGTTACTAATTACATAATGCTTTTGATACTAGCATTAACAAATTTATTTTGAGACAAAATAAATAAAATATGCAGACTTCGAATTTTGAAGAAGACGAATGAATGATTTGTGTTACGAAGAAACTGCAACGCTAGCAAAAGTGAAGAAAAAAATATCATATTCCAACTGTTATGCGTCTCGTGAATGGTTGTTGTTGGTATGGATGGCATCTCAGAAAATTTTATCCAGATGTGTCAGAACATTTCAATCTACGATTTTTGTTTTTACTTCTATATTTAACGTGTACACAACATATGATTACAAACTGAAACGTTTTCTGAGAATTTCTCGTATTTACTAAAAGTGTGAATTATAATAAAAAAAAATTATTTAAGTAAATTAGTTTTAAGAATACTACAAAGCTTCTTGGATTAATTGGAATTCTCGGTACTCGAAACACGTCTATTTCCAGGACTTAACATATAAAAATAGAGTACCTCACAGCATCATATAAGAACAACGTTTATATAGATTTTGGAGTTTGAGTAAACGTAGACTTAATTCCGAGTTTTCCGTCTGGTGTAAATATCATAACTTTATTTCTTGATCAAAGTCGAAAAGTTAATAAAAAAACGTTTGCTTTGTGTACTTGAAAAGGATGTTTCAATTGCAGAAAGGATTATGTAACAGCAGAAGAACTCACTAACGTAAATAGTAAATGTTTGTCTAACAAGTAAAATCTGTGGGTGAAATCAAGATGGTTGAAATCTTTGGTGGACATAAGGAATGTTATAACAAGCTCGATTTTAGGAATATAACAAGCTCAATCTTAAGAAAATATCAAGTTCAGTTTTAAGAATATATCAAGCTCAATCTTAGAAATGTATCAAGAGAGTTTTAACAAGCATAAGAAATGAACTTATGTTGAAGACAAAGTAATTTGTCTAGCTTGAATTTCATTTGAACAAAGCTACTTTGTCTTATTAGTGGAGTGAGTTGACAGGTTAAGGAATAGTCTAATTTGTTGAAAATTTCAATTATGCATTTACGTTCGGAATTGGGTGCAATTGCAGTTATTAATTGGCTTTGTTTATGTTGCGAATGTAATTAGTTGCAATAACGTTGGATTTTAGTTAAATTGAATAAAAACAATAGGGCTGGTGCAGCGCGGAAACTAGTTATTCCTCTTTTTACTTGTAATTAGTTTCAGACCGTTGTTTTTGTTTCAGGAATTGAAGGTAAAATGTGATTAACGAAATGATTGTAATTAGGGGATGTTTTTTTGTTGTTGTTGTTGGGAAGTATTGCTTCCTGGTTATAGATCATCGGTTAAGTCTTTGCGGTTTCTGAAACTATCCCGTTTCGAATATTAATGTGCACTTATAGAAACACGTATGCGGCGCGATGGGAATCCGCGTTATATCGCGACGTTTATGAAAATAAACGAGCTCGCGAGTCAAGCAAAACAATCGGAAAGATCCGCATTTAAAGTCCAATTAGTCGAGATGGATGTTGCTGGACTACTTCCAATTCGGGCTTCGATACTTACAATCTTCTCGTGGGTGATGTTTGATCTGCGTAAATCCATGGTATTTAGCACGATTAAGTACACAGGTTTATATATATATTTTTTTGTTGTAAGGCACTTGGATGCACAGCTTTAATCCAAAAACAAAATGTGGAAGAACGAAAGAATAAAAATCGTAACTCGTATAAATGTGCGGTGATTCTTTCGGTCGGTAGTAGTGTCACTCGCGTTTTAGAGCATCGCCGCGTAAACTCATCGCCTTTGCTAACGATGTACATTCACGACAAACTCTCAACACGAACTGAAGCTTGAGCCGCCGTTGAACTCTGGACTCTCACTCTGTCCCCACTCCGGAGGCTCCCAGTGTTCGGTAAGGGAGAGAGAGGGGTCTCTTCCGCGATGGTGGGGAGGGGGTTGGGGTTTCAACCCTCGTTAAGTGGCGACGCCACACCGAAATACGAGCGGGAGACTAACTGAACCGAGGGGATTCCTCCTTTGCGACGATCTCGGATACCGCTTTTCGGGACTCTCTCTCTCTCTTTCCTACAGTTGGAAAAGGGCTCACAAGGGACGTACGTACTTCTACAAATATTACACCCTCTTCTCATCACGAGGGCGATTTTTGCATCATCAATATTATTGCCGTTATTTCTTCGCCTATTTGTCTGAACCGTTTGCTCAGCTCGTTCACAATTCATAAGGAGAGCAATGAACTAAGTAGGATCTAATAACTTTACTTATAAATAAATACATGATACATAAATGAGGGTCATTCTTCATCATAATACTGTCTATTCTATCTTCACATTGCCTGAACTTCTCAATTCATAAGAAATACCAAATATTTCAATTAATAAGTTTTTTTTTCCAATTTCTATTAGTTTAAACTTTTGTTAATTTTGTGTTATTAATATTATTTTTGTTTAAAAGTAAATTAGAAACAAATTTGATTTTCTTATAAATGAAAGTTTTATATTTTTTACATTGACTTTATTTTTCTTCAAAATTTGTCTCAAATGTTTTTTCTAAATTAATTATGAAAAAGCATCGAAATAAGAGTAATTAATTAAGAGGGAAATTAAATACACAAACTTCTAATTTAAAATGTATATTATTTAATATTAATTTTAAAATTATCTTTCTTTATGTGCAAAAATGAACTGAATTTATGTAATATTATGTTGGTTTGTACAATTTCAAGTTGTCTTTTATGAATTGTAAATAGGAAATGTTGTAGAATATCAAGTATAAATGAACTAAGTAGGATCTAATAACTTTACTTATAAATAAATACATGATACATAAATGAGGGTCATTCTTCATCATAATAGTGTCTATTCTATCTTCCATTGTCTGAACTTCATAAGAAGACAATAATTTTTGTTTCCTATTTCTATTAGTTTAAATTTTTGTTAATTTTATGTTATTAATATCATTTCTGTTTAAAAGAGACAAGAAAATTTAGTAAATTATAAACAAATTTGATTTTCTTATAAATGAAAATTTTAAATTATTTACATTGACTTTATTTTTCTTCAAAATTTGTCTCAAATGTTTTTTCTAAATTAATTATGAAAAAGCATTGAAATAAGAGTAATTAATTAAGAGAAAAATTAAATACACACACTTTTAATTTAAAATTTATATTTTTTAAGTGCAAAAATGAACTGAATTTATGTAATTTTATGTTGGTTTGTACAATTTCAAGTTGTCTTTTATGAATTGTAAATAGGAAATTTAGTAGAATATCAAGTATAAATGTATTTATGTAAAATATAGAAAGTATTAAATTTTGGTTTTACAAAAGAAAAGCGTGATTTGTTTATATAATATTTAAAAAAATGTTAATTATTTGTTCTGTTTGTATTATTATATATGAATGTTATAAATTAATTTAATTTCAAACGCTGAAGCTTAGACAAGTGCAGCACTAGAGGTAAACTCAGAGACAATATTGAACTTGAATTTCCTGTTATTGCAACACAAATACTTCAGTGAAGAGATTAATGCGGTAGATGCAATAATATGCTGCCATCATCAATATTACTGCAATCACTCCAAACGCAATTTATCCATACATATATTTCGCTTCGTACAAGTGCGTTGTTTTACAGGTTTTCTCTTTCAATTCACGTGAAAATATGACGGGATGTTACAAAGTAGGGTCAAAAGGTGAGAATCCTCTGAGAATCTTTGTTTAACTTGGATTCCTGCATAATCCGAGGGCTTCTTAGAACAACGTCGATTTACACATAGAGAGAGAAACACAGGAAAGACTCGTTTTCGTAATGGTACTATGTGTTTAGTTGATGGCAGTCACTTTGTTGCTACATTTTCTTTACAAGTATACAAGAATCTGAAGACGGAGTATTATTATTCTTGGTTTAATATTATTAGTTTGCTGGAATAATGTTGTATAAAGCTGTACTGCAAGTATATCTTTTGGATTGCTTTAGCCTCGTTGGTGAACTTGTGACTCGTAGGTCATACATTGACCCACGTAATTGCTTGACCCACAAGAATAGCCCATCTACATTTAGGTTAAATATTAATAAAACTAGTATGTTTATTGGTATTTGTTTTAGGATTAAATAAAATATTAGAAAGAAAGAAATTGATTAAATAAACTTATTTTTTTTTAAATACATTGGATAAGTTTACAAATGCACATCCACTTAAATAGAAAGTAATAAAAGCAATAAATGAAATAAATTGACAAATCAACAAAAGAAATCCATCATCATATGAAAGTTTCAAAATAAAAACGGAAAAGAAATCGAGGTGAACAAACTTAAACCCTGACGATCTGCATATCATATTGCATATTTCACGATTACTTTACCACATCAATTTTTGATCCAATATATCGAAAATGACATATTTTCAAATTTCTGAAATCGTAACTGAATAATTTCGCATTCGCGGCGAGAACCCTTCGAGATTTGTTTAGTTTTTTTGAAGTTTCACCCCTAAATTATGCAGAATTTAATTCACTTAGAGCCAGAAAACTTTCTGATTTTACACTCCATGAATATTAACATTCACGTTTTTTTCAGCTACAAAGTTTAATGGCCCAGATAAGTCCATCATTTTGACTCAATAAATGTATATAAAATTAATTATTTTTAGTTATTTATTATTGTATTTAAGAAAGTTAAGCATTTATACTTGGATTGGTGATATGTCTTCTTTACAAATTAAATAATTTATATAATACATTTGGATAATCTTATTTCGGGTTTAGACAAATATAAAGTACAAATTATTAAATTATTTCAACGACCTAAGAAAAATCAGTTTTATTTTTTATTATGTGAAGAACTAAATTAGTTATATATATTAAACTATTATTGTTTTTCATCTTACTTGCCAAATAAATGAAGTATTATTAAATTATCACAGAATTTATTTTTTTTATTGATATACATCTACTATTTACTTTGTAAGTTTCGATTAGATTTAAACTTTGAGTCGATGTTTTAATGGGATCATAAATGCACTCATGCAAAGTCAATAGCATTGAACGTAAGCATGGATCTGAGGAAATCAGGATCTCTGCGCTAATGCAAGCTTTGATAACACATTTAAACGTCATGTCTGTGCCAAATTAAATTATCAGACCTGAGCTTCTGCCGCTCAGAAATTCAATGCATTAAATGAAAACAGAGTTAACTTGTTTGCTTGAGAACGAATCAATGGAAGTTTACGAGAAAATCAAATGAACTTCGATAAACGTATTATTATTGTTGTTGAGAATCCAAATACTAAAGCACAGATAAACACTTAATTCATATATTTTTGTTCATTGTTAATGAATATATTTTACTCTATTTTGTGTCATTAATTTAATTTTACTGCAAAGTGTACTTTCGTATGAACGTTCTATTTTTTGCTGGCAAAGTGTACGTTCGTGTGGACATATGTAATGCTAATGTAAAAATACGAAGAAAAATTAGTTTTTTTTAAACTTTATTTTACCTCTATTGATCAGTTTGGCACCATTTTCTGTAGTTAAATCCTCTCATTATCCGTCCTATTGAGACACTACGGTCAATAGCGAAGAGTCCATTAGTTTCTATAAATGTATCTATTATTAATAATTTAATCCTAGTTATAAAAAAACTAATCAATAAATACTGGAATTTGTAGTATGTATATAAAGTGTACGTTCGTATGAATGTTGAGTATAATCAATACTATTTTATCTGAACTTTTAGAAAAAAAAGTGAAATTTGTAACGTAAGTACGGGAATTTGCTGCATATGTTGCATGGACATGCTGGCAAAGTGTACGTTCGTGCGGACATGTGTAATGCTAATGTAAAAATACGTATTAGTGTCGATAATCCAATGTTAATGAAGTAAAAATAGTTTTTTTTAAACTTTATTTCACCTCTATTGATCAGTTTGGCACCATTTTTTGTAGTTAAATCCTCTCATTATCCGTCCTATTGAGACACTACGGTCAATAGTGAAGAGTTCATTAGTTTCTATAAATGTATCTATTATTAATAATTTAATCCTAGTTATAAAAAAACTAATCAATAAATACTGGAATTTCTAGTATGTGTATAAAGTGTACGTTCGTATGAATGTCGAGTATAATCCATATAATTAAATATGAACTTTTAGAAAAAAAAGTGAAATTTGTAACGTAAGTACGGGAATTTTCTGCATATGTTGCATGGACATGCTGACAAAGTGTACGTTCGTGCGGACATGTGTAATGCTAATGTAAAAATACGTATTAGTGTCGATAATCCAATGTTAATGAAGTAAACATAGTTTTTTTTTAACTTTATTTCACTTCTATTGATCAGTTTGGCACCATTTTTTGTAGTTAAATCCTCTCATTATCCATCCTATTGAGATACTACGGTCAATAGTGAAGAGTCCATTAGTTTCTATAAATGTATCTATTATTAATAATTTAATCCTAGTTATAAAAAACTAATCAATAAATACTGGAAGTTCTAGTATGTGTATAACGTGTACGTTCGTATGAATGTCGAGTATAATCAATACTATTTAATCTGAACTTTTAGAAAAAAAAAGTGAAATTTGTAACGTAAGTACGGGAATTTTCTGCATATGTTGCATGGACATGCTGACAAAGTGTACGTTCGTGCGGACATGTGTAATGCTAATGTAAAAATACGTATTAGTGTCGATAATCCAATGTTAATGAAGTAAAAATAGTTTATTTTTTAACTTTATTTCACCTCTATTGATCAGTTTGGCACCATTTTTTGTAATTAAATCCTCTCATTATCCGTCCTATTGAGATACTACGGTCAATAGTGAAGAGTCCATTAGTTTCTATA